TATCGAGAGTGGAATGTTGTACCCTCTAAGGAAAGAACCCTACACAACCTAGAGTGAAATGAACAGAACAATGTGTTTTGACACATTTGTCACTGACAAATTCTCATGGAAGATTGGTACTGCTGAAAAATTAGGTGGATCTAGGTGCCCTAACACGCACTAGAGCAAGCGATTATGCACCCTGTGTTCTTGATGCTTCCCATAATCTCACTCCACTTTTTTTTTGCTCACACTTCATAGCATGCACAAAGTGCTAGATTGCGCGCACACAAAGCACGCACGCATGCGCGCGTGCGCCACAGACAGACAGACAGACACACACACACACACACACACACACACACACACACACACACACACACACACACACACACACACACACACACACACACACACACACACACACACACATATACGCACACACAGAGATACTCTCACACGATTGTTAAGGAGCTGATTTTCATAATTGTACCAGGGGCATCATATGCACAGAGTCAAACGTGTACGCCGAGCACTGGAACGAGACTGGTAGTGACGGGAGAAGGGTTGTGCAAGATTTGAGCAAGGGTTGTGCAATCCTGGATCTTGCGTTAGTTGGGAACTTTGTATATTTGTTAATATTTAGTTATGTATCTCAAATCAAAGGCATGTAGTTCATATAATTCACTTCTTGTAGACTCCCCCGCATCTCACGGCGATTCAAACAGTTTTTTTGGCGTAAACCACGAGTCATGTATTCTTCTGGGTGATGTGAACAAAGTGGCGGTTGCTGAAGGGTAGATGGTTCACGTAATACTCAGACTCCAAGAACTAACGCAATTCTAATCTGGAGTACCCTACTTGTAACCATACTCTCAGTGCAGATTTATAGTTAGATGCTCACTTGCAACCAGGATTCCTGGTTCCAGTTCCCACAACCACTACTGAAACTGGAAACGGGGCCCCATAATCCACAGGTCTAATCTCGGGCAGTCAGGGTGAAATAGAAATGTGTACCGCTGATGAAACACCACGGCTTGTGAACGCGATCACCGTTTGCGACTCAAGCAAACCGATTCGTATCCATATTGAACGCACTAGAAGCGTGCGTAACACACCACACCACCCAAGGTTCGCTTCGCAGTCAAGCGACTCATTCAAATGAATTATGGTTGGAACGCGTTTCACCGATTGTGATTCGCTGAGGATAGCGATTCACGATGCTGACCACACCGAGCATCAGAAATTCCGTTTCAACCCATTCATTCACTCACATCCACCACAATCCGCCCTCTCACTCCATACAAATAACCACGCATTATTCCTTCCCAACACCAGCCCCACACTTCGAAGCTCTTGATTCACTCGCTTCCAGCTAACTCCATCCTCTTCACTAGCTACTGGTAACAACCATGGCGCGCCTGCTTACTGCTCTCGCTCTCCTGCTTGCATTCGCCGTCACTCTCGCATCATTCGCTTCTACTGCTGCTGCTCGATCTGTTCGGCTTCCTGGCAATGGGATGACTGCCAATGGTAAGTTGCAGACCCGTCTACTTACCATCGTCACCGCACGGTGCGGTGGCAAGGCGCAGACCCGTGCGGCGGCACGTCGCTGACCCGTGCGATGGCACGTCGCAGATCCGTGCGAGAAGTCGCAGACCCGAGCGATGGTGGCGCGCGTCTTAAAAAGCTGAGAAAATCCTCCATGCTTGGCTTCAAGAAGCGTGACAATGAAAGGCACTCGCGTCGGTACCTGCACAGATTGTTGCTTCCTCACTCGCACTCCCCCCCTCCCTCAACTTTCCCCACCTCCCACATCCCCTCCTCTCAACGTGTCCAGCTATTACTCCAGCCATTCACTCTCTGCACGGGCAATGACTTTTGAGTCGACTCAAACGTCACCTCGAATTAAAAGTCACCGTGTCAAGCGGCAACTGCACCACTCCAGCAACTTGTACTCCAGCCATTCACTCTCTGCACGGGCGATGACTTTTGAGTCGACTCAAACGTCACCTCGACTTAAAAGTCACCGTGTCAAGCGGCAACTGCACCACTCCAGCAACTTGTACTCCAGCCATTCACTCTCAAGAGTTAAGCTTTTGAGTCGACTCAAAAGTAGATTCACTCTCAAGAGTTACCTCTCAAGAGAGACAGGCTCTGCACGGGCCATCACTTCTCCCTCTGCACCCCCCTGCATCCGACCAAGCTTCACGTCCCCACCCTCCGACCATGCCTCACGTCCCCCCGCCGCGAGAAAATGGTGAGGGAAAGCACCGTGCCTCATTCCCTTTCCCCCACGCCCCTCACCCCTTTCCCCTGTCTCTTCCTCCCCTGCGCGAATCTACGTGTCGGCATGGCGTGGCGGCAGGTGCGCCGGGAGCGGTAGGCACCGCCAGCGGCTCTATCACGGGAGAGAGCGCGCCGATTTTTTCTCAGCGCAGCGCGGGGGACGAGCAGAGCCGCCGCATACTCCAGGGGGGGTATCAGAAGCCTCCTTACTCTCCATCGAAGGCGTTAGATGGTAAGAATGGTCATGCCATGGCCGCACAAGTATAGACTTTGAATTGAAATTTCCCAATATATATATATATATATATATACATATATATATGTGTGTGTGTGTGTGTATATGTAATATTTATACGCATATATGTTTTTTTCCTGCTGTTACTGTATAGGAGCTGGTAATTTCGTGCTGCCAGCGTAGGCTAAGCAGCGCTGGTTATAGAAAGAGCATAACCAGCTGTAAGGGAAATCGCGGCCGTCCATATGCTCCTGACGCCCTTGATATCGATCATTCTCAACAGTCTCCCCCTTGCTGTCGCCCATTTTGCAGGCACGCTGTGTTCTGATGTGAAGCGTAAAGATTGCTCAGCGCCAAAGACGCAATTCTTTGGCTTGATCAAAGGCCCAAAGCCCACCTTTATTGAGATTCTCGAGTGCGAGAAAAAGCAACAGCAACAGCTCAAGGAGTGCAGGATGACATAGTGGTGAGTGGGCGACGCATGATGGTGAGAGGGCAATACTGCGGGGAGTTTCTTGCCGCACACACAGCGTGTCATGGGAAAGCCACGGTAGCTGTTCCTTTGGAGCGCGCAGCGTCGCAAGTATTGTCGCATGTGCCTTCATTTCCAGCCCGGTCGTACCCACCTACCCCGTGTGCATGTGATGTGGGGCTCAGCCCTCGTGATGCCAGCACGTGCGTTGAATGGAAATGTTTTTTAGGCGCCTCAAAACCCGGTTCGTACCCACCTCATACCCCGTGTGCATGGGCTGTGGGGCTCAGCCCTCACGACGCCAGCACGTGCGCCGCACGGAAAGGCCATACCAGCTCTCCCTTTGCAGCGGGCAGAGTCTGGAGAGTTTATAATGTAGGGCCCAACACGCCCGTGTGTGCATGTGCTGAGGAACTGACTCGTGCCACCTCTCTACCTTTTTCTTCTGTCCGCAGGTCCCTGCTTATCCAGCAGCCGCCAAGAGCAGCGCCTAGCAACACCTAGCGGGTCAAGACTGGAAGCTTGTGATAGTTTGTACCACTTATACTAGCAACGGCGGGCGAAAGACGAGGGGCTTCAGCTTGCTGCAACGGAGATTAATCTTGCGACCATGGGGGTGTTCTCATATTTCTCTTCTGGTCCTTCTGCATGGGTGTGCATTTATGCTAGTGTTCTCTATGTAGGTGAATGTAGGTATGGTGTTTTAAAATTTGCTGGGTGGGTGGTTAGAAGAGGTGGGTTATAGAGGATGTGCCTCGATGGATGTCAATCAGCCACATTCTGTATCGTATTGTAACAACTTCCGTCCAGTTAGCATATTTTTGCTTTTTGTTATATTCTAGCCAACGATGTGGTTACTGTGTATCCGCGTGCGCGAATCAGCAGCGGGTCAAGTGCCTAGTTGGAAGCGACGAGAGTCGCATCACTCGTGGCGCGAGGCGACTCAACGATTAAGGACTCCTTACGGAAGTAAAGGCGCCCCAAAACTTCGACGGATTTCTGCTGTGAAATGGATTGGAGAGCGACCTTCTTAGCAGCGTCAAATACTTTCCTGCCGAACATAATATGGACTAACACAGCACCATGTGAGCTAATATTGTTAGTGCTACTAATTCGCGTCACTGCACCTCGCCCGCAAATTGCCGCCAGCTTCGTCAGTAACCTAATGAGTAAGCTGGAGACTAATAAGTAGGGAGGTAAGGAAATCGTGATAGGGAGCGAGATATCTGCTTTGATGTCGGGCAATGAGGGCGACGTCAGGTTATACATTTCTCGAGTTAACAGTTCTTGTAACGTGGTTCAGGACGGTCCAACACGGTGAAAAGCGGTTCTCGACATTTACCGCTCTTCACCGTGTTGAAACGAAGTTGACCGCAGTGGGCGTACAAGAAGTTGTACAACCTGACGTCGCCCTGAGGAATCACGAAGTGATTTATCCCATCAGTTGTAGGGCGTGTCTCCATTAGCGAACACAGTTTAGGGACGTGTGAGGCGAAACTTTTCGCAATTGACTTACCCCGAATGAGCAGTCAGCTTTGTACGGTTTCGTTGATGGGTGTAACCTCGAAACAGAAAACGAACTCTCCAGAAAACATGCGAGTTCGGTTTGTTCGGACCGACATGTAATCTCGTGGGCGCCGAACCGAGTTCTCCTCCGAATCAAGGGTGTACAGTACAATCTTCAACATCCTTGCTGACGCAGCCTTGTGCCACCCAAAACGCGTACACAGCCTGTCGAATTGCTGCATGTACCGCTGTATGAAGCAAAGGTACCTTATAGAACCGCATTCATACGAACCCGTGAGACACGCCCTGACGGAACAGATGTTCTTCCATGCCTCCATGCTGGGTTCAGCCTATTTCACTCATTCCCGTGTCTGCTAGTCTTCATTCCCCTCCCCATCCACCACATACTTCCTCGAACCGCGACTTCGGAGTGCTTGCATCTAAGAGAAGAAATTCTGAGCTGTCAAACCGTCCCGTTTTACAAAGTCATACGAGTTTTCGAACAGCACGATCGCCGTCATGTTCAAAAAGCCGAGCGACGTTCGCGGGCAGCAGCGTCTGTCCGGAGCGGACAGAAAGAAGCTTCGGCGAAACATCCGAGACAAGTTTCCAGGCGCCACTGACGAGCAGCTGGACGCGATCCTGCCGCCCAAGGTGCTCCTTAGTAGTGATCATGCCGCCCAAGGTGCTCCTTAGTAGTGATCATGCCGCCCAAGGTGCTCCGTAGTAGTGATCATGCCGCCCAAGGTGCTCCTTAGTAGCTTTCCCGCTCCCCTCGTATTCCCCCCCGCGTAGTAGGTCCCCGCATGCGCCTCCTGATAACACGTCAGTTGAATCCCCGCCGTTCGTTTCAACAACCCCGTCCTTAATCCGCTCTGATGCTTGCGCTCTCCGGATTCCCCGCTGTCTTTACTGGTTTATTTGTTTTTGGATTTCCGAAGAGTTATTTTTTTCAAACGATATCGATTGATTTGTTTGGCGGTCCAGGCTGACGTGGCGGTGACGAGGCTGGTGAATCGCGTGCTGGTGTACGGACTCGACAACGGGCTGCCCATGCTCTTCGACTGCGACGGCCGCGGCACCGAGATCTACCCCACTGGTAACCACACTGAGATGTTACCACACGGCCATGTAACCACACCGATGTAACCACACAGATACTCATACAAAATTCTCCGCTCTTCCCTCCCTCCCTTCCCCGCCCCCTCCCCTCCCTTATCGCCCTCCTCCGCTCTTCACGACTTGAATTGTGCGGTTTGATCTTCGCCCTTTCCTTCAAATCTCCTTATTTGTTGTTCCCGCCGTCCATTGCACGTTCTTGCTTCCTGTGCGCCCTCCATTCCCGTCCCATGCTATCATTTCATTTCAATCACCTTCACCGCAGCTCAACAGCCATCTGCTGTTCACCCTCCTCATGTCAAACCCTGAACCCCTCAACTCCGGAGCTTCAACCTTATACCCTCAATTCCTGCCTCTCAAACCCAGTCCTGACACCCCATCCCCAATCGTTGCGATGTGGCTTGTGCCTGACCTGGTGCCGTGCTTCCTGCTCAAGGGGGGAACGTGTTGACTTTCGAGTCGACTCAACTGCCACCTGAAATCCCAACACTGTCACCTTAAGCCCCGAAACCCTGAACCCCTGTCATCCCAACCCCACACCCTATCCCTAATTGTTGCGATGTGGCTTGTGCCTGACCTGGTGCCGTCCTTCCTGTTCAAGGGCAGGCAGGGAGGGAGGTGATGACTTCCAAGTTGATGCAACAGTTGCCTTAAACCCCGAAACCCTAAAGCCCTGTCAACCCAACCCTCATACTCCATCCCATCCCAGTGTTTGCGCTCTGGCTAGTGCCTGACCTGCTGCCGTCCTTCCTGCTCAAGGGTGGGGAGGTATCCCGCTACGTGCTGTCAGGGGCTGACCTTATGGCGCCAGGCGTGCAAGTGAGTGAGAGTGAGGTGGGGGTTTAGGGTATTGCGAAGGTGGGGCAAATTCTAGGGTGCAGCGTTCTGTGTTTGCCGTTCTCCCGCTACGTGCTGTCAGGGGCTGACCTCATGGCGCCAGGCGTGCAGGTGAGGTTGAGGTTGGGGTATAAGGTATGCGAAGGTGGGGGGGAATTCAGGGTGCAGCGTCTTGTGTTTGGTATGGTACGTATCCCGCTATGTGCTGTCAGGGGCTGACCCCATGGCGCCAGGCGTGCAGGTAGAGTAACAGTGGCATTGTTTGAGGGGGAGAGAAGGGGGGAGGGAGGGTACACTTTAGGTGAGGAAAATGTAAATTGTGGCAAAATAGATGCCTCGTTGCCTGCTGTCTAGGGCTGACCTCATGCCCTCTCTGTTCCCCTCTACACCCCTCTACACCCCTCTGCACTCCTCTGCCCGTCAGGTGCCCGCGGAAGGCCTGCCAGGGTTCCGACCAGGGGAGGTGTGGTCTGTGAAGGTTCCAGGAAACTCCTGCCCCATAGCGGTATGTGCCTGATGCTCAACTGCCCTGCTCCGTGCTGCTCCGTGCTGCTCCGTGCTGCTCCGTCCTGCCTCCTGTGATACAGGAGGCACTGAGGTAGACAACAGGGAACGGAATCATTGTTTGATGCGGCACACCGTTTGAGTTGACCCGAAAACTCTCATCATTGCTTGATGCGGCAGAAGGCAATGTTGCCTTTCCGTGCTGTGCTGTGCTGTGTACCTTAGGCTTGCGTTCCCCACATTCCAATGCCGAGGTACATTGTGCTGCTCCATAAAGGCATTGACTTGTACCTTAGGGTTGGCTTGTATGTGAGGTCCCACAGATTCTCACTCATCGGGGAAGAGCTGCAAGATGGAGATCCTCTTAGTGAAGGCAGCGACTTGTACCTTATGGTTGCCTTCCCCACTGTGCTGCTCCTTACCTGCTGTTTCACACAAACAAGCCCCTCTGAGGGTATGGTTCTATCTGACGCTTTTTTGTGTGTAGAACACATCTCTGCGTTTTTACGTTTTGAGTCGATTCAAAGGATTGTTTTGACGCTCTTCGTGTACCGACTGTCCTCCCCCTCTCCCCCCTCTCTCCCCTCTCATCCCCACACATCTCCTATGCACGCAGGTGGGCATAACGATGGTGGGCAGTGCAGAGGCCGTGGGAGCTGGCATGAGAGGAAAGCTCCTCCGAATCACCCACTACTACCGCGACTCGCTCTGGTGTGCACTCCCGTCACACCCTCAAACGGTCCTTTGCATTCATTCATTCGGTGATACATGAATGAAAACATCATCAATCTCTTTCTATTCACTAGAGTTTTGAGGCATTAAATGTCGGTCTTCTTACTCTCTCAATCCACTCCCCTCATCCTTTTAGGACTCAAAAGTAGGCTTCCTGCGGGACCTGCTTGTGCCTGCCTGCCTGTGGTGCCATGCCTGCTCTGCTCCAGTCTCCACTTATGGAGCACCACCACATAACGATCCCTCCCCCCTTCCCATGCTCACAGGGAGTCAGTAGAGGGCTTCTATGTGCCCAACAGGGGCTTCCTGACAGACCTGCATGTGCCTGCCTGTGGTGCCGTGCCTGCTCTGCTCCTCCTGATGGAGTTTTGGGGCCGCCTCAAAACTAGGCTTCCTGCGGGACCTGCTTGTGCCTGTCCTCTCGTGTGTGTCTGTGCTGCTCTGATCGTTCTCCTGCTCTCACTCATGCCCATTTTCTCGTATCTCTTGTTTTTCCACCAATCCATGCTCTCAGGGAGACAGCAGAGGGCTCTTATGTCCCCAACAGGGGCTTCCTGCCTGCCGGACTTGGTCGTGCCTGGACCATGAGTGTAGTGCTTCTATAGCTGCCGAGGCCCATGGTGCCTCTCTCGTGTGCTCATGGTTAGTCCTATTCCCCGCCTGCCACCCCCTTCCCACTCGTACAGGGAGACAGCAGAGGGCTCGTACGTCCCAAACAGGGGCTTCCTGCCGGACCTGGTTGTGCCCGACCCTGATGCCCCGCCTGCTTCCTCAGAGGGAGCAGCACCTGAAGATTCGCCTGATGATGCACCTGATGACGATTTGGGTGCTACTGGGGCTGGAGGGGGGGAGGGTGAGGCGGGGCGAGGTGAGGGGAGGGAAGAAGCAGGAGCGAGGATGGAGGAGGGGGCAGCAGCAGCAGCAGCAGCAGCAGCAGCAGCTTCATCCGAGCACCTGTCAGAATCTCTGCAGCATCTGGGCATTCATGAGACCACTGCTGCTGCTGCTGCTGCTAATAATAATTCTGGTGCTGCTGTTGGGGGCAGCGAGGGGGAACAAATAGCAGCAGCTGCTGCAGAGGAAACCGCACCAGCACCAGCAGCAACAGCAGCGGCAGAAGCAGCAGCGGTGGCATTGACACCAGCACAGATGGACGAGTTGTTGGATCGCTGTCTACTGCAGGCCCTCTCCGTCTCTGTCAAACCCGCCCACCTGCCGCTGGGAGCTAGCACCCTCTGGTACGCTCCCTCTGGTAACCCTCCTCTGGTAACCACCCTCTGGTAACCCTCCTCTGGTAACCCTCCTCTGGTAACCACCCTCTGGTAACCCTCCTCTCAGGTGGCAATGACGCCAGCACAGATGGATGAGTTGTAGAATCGCTGTCTGCTGGGTCGTCTTCACTCATGCTTAGGAGGGGCACCACTGTCTGCTGCAGGCTCTCTCCGTCTCTGTCAAGCCCTCTCTCTGCAGGCTCTCTCCGTCTCTGTCAAGCCCTCTCTCTGCAGGCTCTCTCCGTCTCTGTCAAGCCCTCCACCTGCCGATTTTTTAGGCGCCTCAAAAACTGTCTCTGTCAAGCCCTCCCACCTGCCGCTGGGAGCTAGAGAGACGCCTGAAAGGTTGTTTCATGTTGTGAGGCGCCTCAAAATCTGTTTCACATTCTTCAGCAGCTTGGGTTGTTGGTTACCAGAGTGTGCTAGCTGTCCCATGCTAATTCTCCGTGAAAGATTGCCTCCTTGCCCCTCCCTCGCTTCCACCCCCCCTGCACGGCAGGTCCAACACGAGGCCCATGGCATGCGAATCATGTGGTACCCTGATGCTTTCCCACCACCGCTTGCACTGCAGGTCCAATCACGTGCTGCCATGTGTCTGACACAAGGCGCATGACATGTGAATTATGCGATACCCTGATGCTTTCCCACCACCACGTGCATGGCTGGCAGGTCCAATCACGTGCTGCCATGTCGGCCGCCCGGCACAACAGTGGACATAAAGAAGTCGTCTCACAAGAAGCTGAGCAAGTGGCTGCATGCCAGGGCGGTTGAGGGGCTGGTGAGTGAGTGAGGGAGGGAGTGAGTGAGTGAGAGTGAGGGAGTTGTGAGAGTGAGTGACATTTAGGGGAAAGCTTCTTGCCTGCCTGCCCCCTGATGTATGCGTCAAGTAGGATAAGCACCTAAAGGAGTTCATCTCCTCTGCTATCAACCACCCATGCCATGTACCCACCCCTTCCTTTACACCCTTCCCACTGCACAAATCTATATACCTCTCCCCATCACCCCCCCCCCCCCCCCAAGATAAGCGGCAGGGAGGACAAGCACCGAAAGGAGTTCATCCTCTCTGCTGTCAACTACCGCCACCCGACCCTCATCGCCTTCACGCCAGACAAGACAAACAAGCCCGCCCAGACCCCTGCTGCTGCAACCCAAGACACATCCCCAGCCGCACCTGGAGCACCGACCACCACCACCGCCACCACCACCACAACCACCACCAGCAGCGGTAGCGGCAGCAGCAGCAGCAGTGGGGGGTTGACAGTAGAGGAGGTATTCAAACCCACCCACCATGTGTCAGCCATTTTCGAAGCCGTCGGTCTCGACCCACACGCCTACTACTCCCCCTCGGCTGCTCGTGAAGCTGCTCTTTCCTACATCTCTCTCCACTCCCTCACAAAGCCCTCCGACCCCTCTATAGTCATCCTCGACGCACCGCTCTGCGACGCACTGTACAAAGGCGCGATAAAAAAGGGCGCCGCGTACCCCACAGAATGCCACAAGCGGGACGTGGGTCCCACTATAGTGAAGCGCATGCAGGCGCATCACAGGGTGGAGAGGGCGGGGAAGAGTGTGGTGCGCAAGGGAGGGTTGGTGCCGGTGCAAATACTGGTGGAGAGGCGGCAGGGCAACAAGAAGGTGACGCGGGTGTCGGGGCTGGAGGCTTATCTGGTGGAGGCTGAGCCTCTCGCTGCTGAGCTGCAGAGGAAGTTTGCTTCGAGCACGTCGGTGACTGAAGTGCCAGGTGGGTCCTATAGAGGGGTGGGCTAACAAGAATTGTGGCTAGCAGGGGTAACAGGTAGCGGGACGGGAGGCTTATCTGGTGGAGGCTGAGCCGCTCGCTGCTGAGCTGCAGAGGAAGTTTGCCTCGAGCACATCGGTGACTGAAGTGCCAGGTGGGCTGCTGTTGCAGTAAATGGGTGCTGGGTTGGTGTTTGTCACAACAGCTGGGGGGGCTAGCAGGGGTAACAGGTACCGGGAGGCTTATCCGGTGGAGGCTGAGCCTCTCGCTGCTGAGCTGCGGAAGAAGTGCGCCTCGAGCACATCTGTGGCTGAAGTGCCAGGTGGGTTCAGTCAGTCTGCAACAGGTGCTGGGGCGAAGGCAATCCAGGGTTAATGGTACTGGGTCCAGCGTCAGTGGCTGAAGTGCCAGGTAGGCGCTGCTGCTCCAGTTGTGTCAGGTGGGCATTGTTGGTCTGCCAGGCGATTCGGATGTGTCAGATGGGCTTTCGTTGCAACAGGTGGGTGGGTTCTGCTGCATCAGTAGTACACTACCCTGCTCTCTCCCTCTTCCCTCATGCATTTATGCACCCATGCACTCATCCATGGTCCCATACACCCATGCAACCATCCATGGTCCCATGCACCCATGCACCCATCCATGGTCCCATGCACCCATGCACCAATGCACTCATCCATGGTCCCATGCACCCATGCAACCATGCACTCATCCATGCACGCATGCATGTATGTATCCACACAAAGCAGGCAAGAAGGGGCAGCACGAGGTGCTGTTTCAAGGAGCGGCGTTTTTCATCCTTTCCATCTTCTACCCCACTCCTCCCGTACCCTCTCGTTTCCTTGTTTCCTCTCTGTCTTCCTTTCCATGGCACACATGCACCCATGCACATGAAGCAGGAAAGAAGGGGCAGCACGAGGTGCTGATTCAGGGAGGGGTGTTAGACGAGTTGGCTCGGCTGCTAGTTGATGTGCACGGCATTCCCAAGTCCCATATTGAGGTACTCGATAAGACCAGGAGGTGATGTTAGGAGATAAATCTATATGGAACTTTTAGGAGTTACATGGAAGGTGGCATTGGCACACTTTTTGGGGGGAAGGGTAAGAATGGGAGAAAGGGGGAGCACGAGTGGAGGGGATCTCATGTACCGTAAATGGACTGGGTGTGTTAAAGAGGATGAGGGAGATGACTGAGAGAGGAGGGATGGGGGGGAGGAGGAAGTTTGTCGGGAGGGACAAGCGAGAGATGAGGATGACGTGGAATGGGATGAAAGGAGAGAATAAAGGAGCAGGGGGTATCTCGAAAAGGAAGAAGATGTTTCGATGGGCATTGGGAACGAAACTTGGTTAGCAGGGCTTTTGGGTGTCTCCTCTTCTGTATAACTTCCGCTCTTGCCCATGTCACTCCTTACCCAGATTTAGGACAGCCCAGGAGGTGGTCGAGGGGGTGGTGAGGAGTGTGGAGGGAGGAGATGATGGTGTGTAGGAGGAAGGATAGGCTAACAGGAATGATACAAGAATAACCCAGAAATGTTGCATATATCATCACTATTACAACGACCCTCCACATTATTCCCCTGTTCACTACCACACACGCACTCCCATCAACCCCCCTATCCCCTCTACTTCCCTTACCCGCGATGCTAGTAGGCCAAACGCATCGCCGCGATCGCACAGGCGAAATGAATGCAACCCACAGAAGAAGAAAGAGCGTAGCAGGACTTCGAAGCAGCACAACAAGAGGTTATACTCCTTCGCAGTCAGCTTGCACCCTCTTGTGAGTGTCACCAAGAGGTTCCCACGATTCCTTCTTGTGAGGTTGCTCGTCGTGGCCCACCGCTCCCTCGGGAAACTCGCCGTGATTTCAACTTGAGCGTTTCTACTACGGGAGTCCGTCCGTCGGGCGTGCAATCGACAGGAACCGTTTGAAGAACGCCACGGAACGTCTAGTCGTCGTGGTGCTCATGGTGATGGTCGTCGTGATGGTCGTGGTGCTTGTGGTGCTCGTGGTGGTCGTGGTGCTCCTTCTTGGGCGGCGACGGCTTGGGCGACGGCTTGGGCTTGGGCTTGCACGCCTCGACGCACTCGCCGTACTTCTCCTCGCACATCGGGGCCTTGTACCACTTGAGGCACTGGCGACGACGGTACAGGCACCAGTCCTTGCAGCCCCACTTGCCGTACTTGCAGTTCTTGAACGACCGGTACGCCTTGCGCTCGCACATGGTCGAAATCGTCTCGCACGTCTTCTTCTCGTCCGCATCCTCCGCCTTCGCGACGCAGGCTTTCTCCTTCTCGTCGCACGCGGCGTACTTGATCTTGTACTTCTGAATGCACGTCAGTTTTGGCTTCGGCGGCGATGGCGGCGGCGACGGCTTCGGCGGCGACGGCTTTGGCTTTGGCTTCGGCTTCTTGTGATGATCGTCGTCGTGATGGTCGTCGTGGTGGTGATCGTCGTCGCCATGATGGTGGTGATCGTCGCCCAAGAATCGCCTGGCGGCGACAGCTCCTGCAGTTGTCAAAACGCGACGGGAAATGCGTCAGAATTATTTAAAACGATTCGTGTGGAAACTAAAAAATCAGCGAAATTGCCAGACACATGAAGGCAGCGGAATGACGGTCACCGTCATTTACGGTACTCACCTGATGCCTCCGCGCTGGCGACGGCGCTTGAATCCGCGTACGCGGAGGGCGCAAGCAGGGCGACCAAAAGTGCGGAAACGGCGACGAGAAGAGCGAGGAGCTTCATCGGAGCCATCTTGAAGGTGCACTGAGCAGGTGTGTGACCTCGAAACGACGCTTGGATTTGAAGTGTTATGACGGTTAGATTTCCAGCCTCAATTTATTCTCGAAATTTGCCCCCCAGACCAGATGCTCCTCTCTTCCCCCATCAAGCCTCAGGCAAAGCGCCGACATTCTGATGGCCAAAGCCGCGGCTCGGATTGAAAGGTGTGCCAATTTATGGGCAGTCGAGAAGAATTGCACATGAAAATAACAATTGTAGACTGGAGAAAACTCTACATTCTCTCAATCGCCTGTTGAAATTCCGCCTCAGAACATTACGATATATAGCGCAACTACCACGACATTATGTTTGTTTCACCCAACAACTACAATCTGCACGGGGCTGGTTTTGTTACAAAAAACCACTTATCGAAGGCGCCTCGAGAGGGCGGTGTCGCCTTCGCGATTCGGTTTGTTGACGCTGTATTACTGCCTTGCCAAAGCCCTTTCACGCTGAAACCCGTCCGATGAACTCATATCGACGCCTGACAATAATCCAATGTCATGCATGCTGCCCGAAAAAAACAAAATACTGTATGGCGACCATTTTGCCACGCAACACATGGCAACAATTTTGCCAAGCTTGTCATCCTCACCAAAAGACCCCTCGCAGCAATGTAAGTACTGTATATGTTGAATGCGCGAAGCTTCTAAAACAAAAAAAGGCAAGCTACACAAAAGAGTTTATATCCAGCAATATTCCTTTCCATTTACGACCTCCCCATCAGGGCCTCAGATATCAGCCTAAAACACGCTGATTCCGCTGAAAATGCCGCTGTTATTTTTACCTTTCCTGAAAATTCATTATCCCTGTATATTTAGCACGGTTGTATCAGTTTAACGATGGCAGTTCTCACTGACAATTCAGTGTTAATGTGTACTAGCAACACTGATGAGTCAGTATAGTGTTGGAGAGAACACTGATCCACACTTGACCGATTTTCGGGGGGGGGGGGGGGGGGGGGGGGGGGGGGGGGGGGGGTACAGCACAGAGCACGTGAATACTGCTGACAGTGTGCGGCCCGCCTGAGATTCCCGCTCCACCACCACACACGAATAAAATTTTCGGTGCGCTGTATTGATTTTGGGTGCGCGCCGCTGTGTTTTGCCAAGCTGTGACACGAACGGTGAGTCAGCCACTAAGGTGTCGGTAAAACTACCCAATGAGAGCAGTGAAACCACATCTCCTGTAGAGGGGAACACCACGGCATTACGGCAGAAGTTGACGCTGATTCTAGTTAGACTTGTTGAATAGATTAACGTGAACATACCCCACCCCACTGAACTTTATCCTGTCCTGATGATGGGTCAGCATACCATTGGAAACATCACTGGGGGGTTTAGTATAACGCCAACCCTCAGCGCTGATCAATCAGCGCACAAGGGAATTTTTTTTTACACAGCACTGATTGATCAGTCTACCCTCAAACCAATCTGAGGCTCTGCTCCCCATTGTAGCCACCCTATTAACTGGGAAACATTTTCTCAGATTTACCTTAATTTAAATATTTCAACTCAGTTACTTTACGATACTTAGTAATTATGCATAAATGCATAACCAAATATAACATTGATGAACGACTTTCCCAACTCTAAATATTCAATGCAACCCAACATGGGGTGCAACTTTGAAGACCTGGCTCACCATAATTTGTCTATTTTATTGTCGATGTCCTTGGAAACCTGAATCATAGGGCGGCGTCTGCGCAGACTCGTGGTTTCACGCTGACGGATTCATCACCGGCGGCGACTCAGTTGCTTGCCGCCGAGGACGACGATCAGCCGGACGCCCCTGTCAGAAGAGTAAGCACAGTGAGGAGCCATAGCTAGGGTTTACCTAGCTAGGCAAGAGAGAAATGAGCAAAGGAGGATGTTCACTAGCAAGCAGGAGGATACATATAGGAAACCCTAAGGGGTCGTACTCACTACAGAGTACCCCACTGCAGGCTAGACAAACTACATTCTGACACACCCCCATAGTCAAAGTGGGGTATAATCAGCAGAGCAAGCAGTCATAGAGCAGGTTCACAAGTGCAAGCAAAGCTAGAGGCATTCACAAAGGGCAAGTGAGGAGGAGGAGGCGGGACTGTAAGAGGAGAGAAGATAGGAGGCGACGGCTGAAGCTGCAGACACACGGGCAACAGGAGCGGCTGGCACAGTGGCTACCGGGACAGCGCCCCGGGCTACTGGAGTAACTGGCTCGGCGGCTATGAGGAGCGGCAGGAGCAACGGACCCACGGGCGACAGGCGCAGCAGGCTCTCTGGGCTACCAGGACTGCGCCCCGGACTACAGGTGCTGCGGTCGACAAGACGGCAGCCTCCGCTCAACCTCCCCCAACTGTCCCACCCCCCTTTCACACACCCCTTGCTGCACCCCTAGCTCCACTCCCACGTCACCCCCCTAGCACCACTCCTTCTGCTCCCACACACCCACTCCCCTCAGCGATAGCTGCAGCAGTGGGAGACGGAGGAGGAGGAGGAGCAGGGGACGGCGGACACACCCGGCACCCCCTATAACCGCCACCCCCACACTCGCCACCCCCAAACCCTAAAACGGGTGGCACGGGGCAGGAGCGCGGGGGACGGCGCGCGGCCCCCAGGGCGCCACGACGGGGCAGCGGGGGGCCGCGCATTGGTTTTCGGGACGACGCGACGGGCTCCAGGGGGGGCGACGCGACCGTCGACGGGGGGGGACGCGCGGGTCCCCGGGGTGACGCGCGAAGAATGAAGCCGCCACGCGCCTCGGGGCGCACGGCGGGCAGAAAACCGCCATGCGCCCCGAGCGCGTGGCGGGAAGAAAAAAAAGCGTCGCGCGCCACGGGGCGCGCGATAGACAGGAAAGCAGCGGAAGCACGTGGGGCCCACAGGCCAAGAGCGTAACAGCTCTGATTCCATGTCAGAAGAGTAAGCACAGTGAGGAGCCATAGCTAGGGTTTACCTAGCTAGGCAAGAGAGAAATGAACAAAGGAGGATGTTCACTAGCAAGCAGGAGGATACATATAGGAAACCCTAAGGGGTCGTACTCACTACAGAGTACCCCACTGCAGGCTAGACAAACTACATTCTGACAGCCCCTCCACAGGGCGTGCGCTAGCAGAAATTTCCTGTCTGTTTGTCTGCAAAACATACCTTTTTTTAATGGTTTATCAGTTTTTTTTTTCTTCAGAAATTGAGTTTTGTAATATATGTTTGAGCATAAAAGTTTTTTTTTTGTTTTATCTGGTGTGAAAGACACAAATTTTCA